GAATCACAGTGCAGATCACATCAGATTGCACAGCATTCATGTTGAAGTCAAGCAGTCTGGTGCTGCATGCAAGACAGCTCTAACTCTACAGATATGCACATTTCATTAATGTGGATGCGCTAAGCGATCACAGCTTTGTGCGCTCGAACGTTTGTATTCATTCAGATTCCCCGATTTCTTGTTGCCCAAACTTGGCAGGCGCCTATGAACAGCATGGAATGAAGAATTTGAGGATGGTCCGTGATCATACCTCTTCTCTGCCTCTGGTTTTCCATTTTTTCTTTTAAACTACACCGTCGTACAAAATACCAACCGTCGCCTCTGATATTAGCTGGAAATGAATTTGAGTAAACTGGCCGGCATCCATGTCATGCGTCATACATTGAACAGGCTGATGTTTCAATTACTCGTTGTCAAGTCAAAAAGAACAATCTTGTGGGTGATAATTATCCCACAACTTTGATGAGCACAACACAATTTGTTAGCATCTATCAATCTATGACGAGCTTGTTTTGAATGTGAACTGAAGATCCATATTTTACGTGCGCACAAAATATATGCATCATTCGTCGTGAATTCATGACTATGCGCCCCTGCGGAAATACACCTTATCAACGAAAGCAATTCTAACCAGTTTCACAGTACACAAATTGGCTTTTTGTCTTCACAAGATAAAGCGGTGAACTCCATTGAAGTTGAACTGACTCTGCCACCTAAATTCATGACTTCACGCCATCAATTTCTCCAACTGGCCAAAATCGGCTTGCGAAACGTCTGATGGTTTTCTTGTCACGTCAGCGTGAGAGGTTTCACCTAACACCACATCTAATGCGCTGCGGTTTTAGCAGTCGTCCAATAAGCAATCAGCGATTTGTACTCACAACTAATCTTACGTTCATGAATTAACACCTTACACAGGCTGCAAATCTTCAGACGGTCATTTATACTTGTCGCGGTTACACGGCTGGTGCGTTGTACTGCTCCTTGGTTTGTCAATTGCTTTTCATATCTTTGCATATGCTTTATCCTGAGTTCCTGCAAATTTCGAAGTTTTCAGCCTCATTGGCTACGTTATTTACCTATTAACATTTTCATTCAAGAATCAAGTCAGAATGTGCTGATTTGTATGCTGTTACAATGTGTTCACTAGTGAAGCAGAATTGTTTACGCATTCTTCTATACCTTCTGGCCTAGTTTTAAGAAATGTCGAATGAAAGCAGAGATGTGCAGTTGTCAGACGAATCGCGTCGTCTAGCTGATCTGCTGCGCAAGCATTATGGACGGACAGTGATATACACAGGTGCTGGCATCAGCACATCTGCTGCCATTCCCGACTATCGCGGCACCAACGGCCTCTGGCGCACACACAATGAAACCAGTAAGCTCGGTATTTAGTTTGTAAGCGTGCGTGCTTGTGTAGATGGAAAGAAGAAACCTCTGCGGTTGCGACTACCTGAAGCCAGCTTTGCCAAGCCTACGTACACACACATGGCGATTGCTGAACTGGTTTCCAAGGGCTACGTACGTTTGTTTTCATCCTGATTTCTTCATTTCTTGTCACATACTTGCTAGCAGTGTATGCAAAAAGCATGCACCAGGACACTCTGAGCCTAGTTAGAAGTTGCTGGTGTGAATTCTTGTTTGTGGAACGGTTGTTAAAGCAACTGCTAACACAATAGCTCCAGGATGCAAATTCAAAGAGTTGAGGGGAGACCATCTTATTGTCACAAAATTCAGGTAGACAGGTGAACGCGAATGCACACTTGGAGTTGGCATTTTGAAAGTAATGAAGCGCACGAGAGCGATGTTGAGGATTTGTTGCACTGTTTCGATACATTTGCCATCTGTCTGTGCCTCCAGGTGCGGTACGTGGTTTCGCAGAACGTAGATGGTCTGCACTTGCGTAGCGGACTGCCACGTGACAAACTCTCCGAACTACATGGCAATCTCTTCATCGAAGTGAGTTATTTTCCGTTAAGACAAGCGTCATCGATGGTGTCACTCGACTTGTGTGCATGACTATTATTTTGGTGTTGAGCGCACAAAGCTGTGATCGCTTAGCGCATCCACAATAATGAAATGTGCATATCTGTAGAGTTAAAGCTGTCTTGCATGCAGCACCAGACTGCTTGCCTTCAACATGAATGCTGTGCAATCTGGTGTGATTTGCACTGTGATTTGATTGTGGTCATTGTTGTAGCAATGCATGGCGTGCGATCGGGTGGTTTACCGATCCTTCGATGTTGGCGAGACGACAGGAAAGAGCCGACACCTAACTGGTCGCGTTTGCCCTTTCTGTGTTCCCGCGTCGTCTGTCGACTCACCATCGAATTCCTTAGTGCAGAAACTCGCCACCGGCGCGAATTCGCTCGCAACGAGGAGATCCAAATCGTCCAGAGCGAGTTTAGACCGCGTGCTCGCCTTCAAACGCGCTGCCACCAGCCTCAGGCGAATTCATGGTGCGTTGTTGGGTTTGTTGTGTGAAGGATGCTTCGTGCAACAGGCAATCTGCCATACAGTTAACGTGTTTGTAGACCATGAATGCAGACTTGGAATTTAAGCCTACTGGAGTGATTTAGGTAATAAGATGTGCACGAGGATTGATGCCAACTTTGCCTTATTAAATTATCCAAAATGGTCATCTGCATTCCACAGGCGTAGCGATCACACCGCACACCAGCCACCTGCCCATCGAATCTGTCGTAGTGTCAATTGTCTAGTTTGATAGTTTGTGTACTTTGACAAGCCCGTTGTTGCCACCTAGGAGTGATCGAAATGCTGGATGTTGATCAGTGCCATGCATCAGACAGATGGGTTTCATTGGTGCTGCCTCGTGACCATTATATAATCGGAAGTGATAGTTCAAATTCGCACATTGATTTTGCCTCATTGGTGTCAGTGACCTTGGTGGGTACACTGAATCTTGTCTAAGCCGATTGCATTAGCGTCTCCATTCGTGGATGGGTACGTGTGAGTGTGCGTGCGGGCTTTCTTTGTTCAGCCAAACGCAATCGGCACAACTGCAGTCTTCCGCTTATGCGAGACGTGATTGTGCACTACTTTGAGCGTCAACCGGTGGCGGGTCAGGCCGAAATTTACCGCGTGGACAGGGCTGTCGCAGCACTCTACGGTTC